AAATCATAGGTTGTCTTTTACTGCATCTTTCTATCGCAGAGACAAATTTCCAATGATATGTTTTAATATTAAAAGAATTGAGTCAAGATTTCTGTACTATCCTTTGAAGACTTGAGGCAGAGATAACAATCAAAATACACTTGAAATGAATAATCCAATTCTGATTACTTAACAATCAGTCAACAATTAATAAAAATGTCTGTCTATAAGAGATGTAGGTTTATCCCCATTTTTTTATCTAATATCAACATTTTTGACTATAATTTAGAATGATATGACGGCAAATTCCTTGATAAATATTATAACAAATTAGAGCTCAAGAAATATATAGTGCGATTGCTGACGTTATTACAGATAAAGATCAGTTTTAATTACTTATTGTGTAACTTACCCTATCAGAGAAGGAAAATATACAGCTTTTTGTAGCCTACAAAGCTGAACTCAGCATGGAATTCTGTTTAAAATACGCAGGGAACAGTGCTTTTAAACTGATAACCTGATACATTATTCTGACATATATTTATGAATGAGTTCCATCAATAATAATAGCTAACAAAAGAATTTTTAGCAAAATGCTTATCAATATGCATATTTTTATTGCTAAATAGTTCTGCAAATATGCCCGAAGATTTCGAAAGTTGCGGATTACATCTGTTATTTATATACGACCTTAGATGAATAATTCTTATTCTTGAGTCATGATGATTGATTTTAGGGGCAAATTCTTTAATACTGTTTTATTTTTGCCTGGCAACCCACCCTTTAAAAAAAATATGTATTCAGTGATACATAATCTCATTTCTTTCGTATGGTGTAACATTTGTGTTATTTAAAACTTTAGCAAAACAATAATCACATGACATCTTAAAATAGATAATAACATCCACAATTAACTTTCTCTACTCTATCAACAATATGCTATCTATGTATGATTAACTAGTATCATTGATAAAATATTTTCTCTTATGAATTACATATAGATTATTCATGAATGATACTGATCATAACTTAATCGATGTTGAAAATATGTAATTTTTCATTTCTCTAGAAACCTCTATATGGCTTCTATGACGTCATTGTGATTGTTAAAATTTATTCATACAGTCTCTAATGTAATACTTTCGTTCTTTTTCTTCTGATACCATTACTATTTCTCATAAATTATACGTAATAAAACGTCATTTTCTTTCATCATTCATTCGAAATTTAGTCAATTTACATTTTATACAAAGAAATATATGAAAAATTAAATATTTGTCTTTGTAATAATAGATAAACCTTATAACTGGTATATTTGACTTTCTTCGTTATACTAATATTAAAAGAAAAGAAAGTAAAGATTTTCGTGCATACTAATAAACTGTACAATTTTAACTCAATACTTATTTTGATTTTATTGTGTGAAGAAAAATAAGACCAAACCAAGGTTGATAAAAAGATATCTTAATAATATATTTTCTTCTTTTTCTTTCGTCAACAACTCATAAATGTGAAGGACAACTTTTATTGATATTTTTTTCGTTTCGATTTCTTATTTTCTGACAGTCAAGCATATGATATTCGATAATGATCGGAAGGAATATAAAAAAGACACAAAAATATAGCAGAGAGGGAATGAATAATTTTTATGAGAAAAAAATTATATTTAAACGACACTGGGCAAAAGATAAACTATCGAATCAGCTTGCATGTTTCTGCGTCATATGGGCATATCATGAGTCAATTTTTTTCATAATAGAAAGATAGAGACAAAAGATTGCTCAATAGCACAAAACAGATTGGCGCAGTGACAGCATGATGAAAATGCGAGAAAGAAAATTCATGACTCAAGGTATTCTCTGATTATCAACATATGCGCATGTTTGTTATGGGGATGAAATCCAGCATTCATTTATTACGAAGCAAACTGAAGTTTTTTTAAGGGGTATCAGAAGGAGAGAGAGAGGGAGAGAGAAAAAAGAAACACAAATATATTTTATAACAATTTTATCCGGAATGAAAAAAAAAAGAGAGAAGAAAAAAGGGCCTATCATTACTCTTTACCAAAACGGGTATATATAAGCGAAATCAGTGGGTAAAGAAGTATTCATTCAACATTATGATCTTCATCATTTGCAATCTGTAATCGCCGTGTGTCATCGTATTTCGACCGAAGGATTTTCACACGACATTTTCTACATAATATTCAATCAAACCACACATAGCGAGTAGGTTTCATATCCCGCATTCATACTATTTTCATCCTCTGTCTTGTAGTGCAGTGCATTTCACCTCAAGGCCAAACAACTCCAGAAAAAACTCTATCGAATCCTTGGTTCGGCAAAGGTTTCTGTGAGCCTGATCAATATAAAGCTGCCATTGAACGTTGTTCAGGCGGATATAAATCATGTGAACTAGGTATTGATTTGTACAAAGATCTTGCTAAGATTCTAGAAAATCATTCAGCGGCTTTACGTCAATGGTCAACAGCAAGCCAAAAACAAATCGTTCATTCAAGTGAATTTGGTACAACTAAAAAATCTTGGTTGAATTCTATACGAGCAGTTGAAAAATTAGCTGAAAGCAATGATTTTATCCGTGAAAATGTTCAAAAAACTGTTATCGATAAGATGACATCTTATAAAAATGAAAATTATGGTAAATCATTTCTCCAAGTAAAAAAAATCAAAGAATTTGAAAAAGAATTTAAAAAAGTTCAACGAACATGGCTTGATGTACTCGATAAAATTAATGACGCTAAACAATCATTTCATGTTGCTAAACGTAAATTACAAATTGCTCAAAATGCAGAAAACATAATTAAAACTGATGTTGGTTCATCTGATGATCAAACATCAAAAGCAAAATTAAATGTAGAAACTCGTCAAAAAGAAACCGACAGGTGTAAATCGAAATATGAAAATGCAATCAATGAAATGGAGAGAGCAAAACCCGATTATCAAAAACAAATGTTTAGAATACTTGAAAGTACTGATGATTTTGAACGAAAACGACTAAATCATTTTAATCTAACTTTTAACGCTCTTCAACAAGCCGTACTATCTGAAAAAAATAAGTGGCGTGATGAAATAGTTGATGCATTTAAAAAAGCAATTGACGGACATAATATTGAAGCTGATATAGCATTTTTTAACACGAACTATGGCAAGGACACTAAAACTATCTGGCCTAAGTTCGAAGATTTGAATTAATAATAATATACTATGTCTAATTGTGCACTTGGCAGATATATCGAGAGTAAAGGTCTTGAAAAAAATTTTAACAAAAAAAACGGGGAACAGGTTAGAATCTTTTTTATTGAGATTTCCTCGGTATATGGCCAGGCCTTGTTCTAATGAAGCGTTATGTTTTCGTGTATAATTAAATCATTCATGTTTTTTTACTACCTTTTTTTATGTAATCATAATTCAGAAAAAAAATATATTTTTGTTTTATTTTGCTTTGTTTATTATCCAATAGTTGCCATCAATAAAACTGTAATTTACGAAATTTCATACTTCCGTTTGATTGTATGATTTACCCACAACAATTATGGCATATTGCTATTGAAAAGGGAATTACCATAAGATGTATAAAAGTGTTTGTTGGGAAAGAGTCATTATTAATAGGTATAAATGAATTTATAATGGTGTGTCGATTCGATACTTTCATTCGTACTTTTTATTTTTCCTTTGTTTATTTTTGTTTGCAAAAGAAATATTTACTTTGTGTCGAAGATGTTATTGAAAATTTTTTATTGCATTTCTAAAAATAGACTGTTGAGAAAGAATAACTGTTAATTTCTTCCACTATTCCAACTTAGAAATAACAAAAAATAAGTGCTGACTCATATTCTTGAAAATAATAACAACGTTATTACACAATTTAATTGGATTTTTCGATCTTATATACATAACTTTTGTTAAATTAAAAATGATTTTTCCGAGACTCTTTTTAAGGCTTTATGGAATAAATTTCTCGGAACGAAAAAACAAACGTCTGTATTACGAAATAAAACAGCAATGCAATAACATACGAATAGAATTGATTAAAACAATTCTTTTACGAAATATCACCATGTGTATTGGGTAGAGAATGATAATAAATAATTATCTAACAAATTGTCCATTTTATTATTTTTATCTACAGTATGGCTATAGAATATAATTCAGTTAATATATATTTATTGTTCACAATAAGGAAGTATAATCAAATCATAACATGACCTAGAAATTTCCCTATCGATTATTAATCAATATTATGTGTCCACTATATTGACTGTCAACATGTAAAAAAAGATCAAATGTTATATGAGAAATATTATTGTCGTTGTCGTCATTCATATTCTTATCATGATTATAAAAAATGAAGACATGAATCTTTACCATTAATACATAAACATGCAGCTATCGGTTTTTTTTTCATATAGTTTCATCAAAGATAAACATTTCTTTTATTTATAGCCATTTGTTTCGACTCAAATTTCTCTATCAGCTGATACTAAATATCAACAATTTGTTGTTCGTGATTGAATTAAATTAGATTTATCCAATAAAAAAAAATTAATTAGACATTATGATAAATTATATAATAATTATCGATAACGATTAATTTTATAATTTGTTCTTCTTCTTTTTTTTCTTTTTTTTTATAACTAAGTATCAGATATCGACAATAACATGGCGTAATCTTTCTCATTAAATGCTGTTATCTTAATAGGACAGCATGACTTCCGTTTTCACGTCTTTCCATGATTTAAGATATATAGGAAAAAATAATAGCAACTAAAATAAAACAAATGCCTCATGTGTGTATATATACGTTATATTAAATGTGAAAAAAATAGGCAAATAATTGAGGGTAATGGGTAAACAAGCACACATACATTGACAGAGTAGAATTGTTTCTGACCATAAAAAGAAAAAAGAGAAAAAATTATGAGTAGATATAAATTCGTATGATAAAAATCAATAGAATTTAATTTTAAATCTGTAAATTATTGATGTCTAAAAATTGCATATTTATTCTTCTTCTTCACCAGCAGGTGCTGCTGCTGGTGTTGAACTAGCACCACCACCAGGTTGTCTACTAAATTTTGTTTCTAATTGTTTACGATTTCGTTCATGAGGATGAAGTTTGTCCTGATAACAACCTAATAGAAAATATTTCATATATATTAGTTAGGTTATCTATCTTGGCTTACTTCTGCAATAAACATCTTGAGAAAAATCCTTGTAATTAGATAATGTCAAAATGCCATTGCCTAAAATGAATAGGAAAATCATATATATATATATTATAAATAAAGAATGAATTGAAATAATCATACATGTTTTGCATTTAAAGCAACCTTTATGCCATGAAGCACTACATGCAAGAAGTTTTTCTGCTGGATAAACCGTTTTTTGACAACGTGGGCATACTTCACCACCACCTCCCCATTGTGGCATTGTTTAAATAATTGAAATAAAGAAGATAATAAAAAAAAACTGTAATCTAGAAATAGAATAAAAAAATCATTTCTCCATTTTCATTATAAGATCAATTGACCGATTGATAATAGTTGATAAAAAAAATGATCGGAAACTTATTTCGACTGGTAGCTTATAGGCATAAACGCGTCATTTCTAAGAGTAGAAAGAAGAAAATGTAGTAGCAACAAGATTATCTCCTATTGCTATTACTTGTACATATGCAATGTTTGAGATCAGTAAAAGAGAGCAAGCGAGAGAAAAAAAGAAAAATGGAGATGTCTTTTACTAGTCAGCCTTGATGATATGACTGTTATTCGTCGTTGTCGTTTTTCATATACACATACGGAGAGAACCTTTCTTTTTTTTTCTCTCTTGTTCTGCTTTTTAGTCAGTGGATAAACAAAAAATGTTGCTGTTGGTGTGATGATGATCTATCTTTCTTGGTCTATATCTCATCAGTAGAGTAAAGAATGGATGAAGTAAGCAATAAGCCAACGATATACTGTCAATTTATGACGCGATTTCTGTTTTTCCTTATATTCAATCTATATTGGATCAATAGGAGCAGAAATGATGGTATATATTCGCTATACCAATAACCTAATGAGTTGTTTTCACGCAAGCGTTTTATGATTACTACAAGGATATGTTTGTTTTATAGTGAGTTGAAGAAAGCAAAATGGAGTAAAGACCATTATGTTATTATCATTTTCTTGAGACAAGAAATGACAAGCGACCATTTTTCTGTTGTTGTCGATTAGTTGTACTATACAGATATTACAGACGTATGTTAATTTTGCAAAAAAAAAAGAAATTGCTTTGATCGACAAAAGATGGATTACACAATATGAAACAACAGACAAAAAAAGAACTTTCTACTGAAAATAAAATTGCTGGTATCAATCATGAATATACGAAAAAAACAAAGAGAAATAGAGAGAAACCATCCTATCAATATTACCAACAACAACAACAACAAAAAATGCAAAGATTCGCCTACGTATTAACACTTAGCATATTGACAAAAGATCTCTTCGAAGATGGTCTAGTACGTGTATATATCATGAGAATAACTTTGTAAAGAACTCTCTAATCCAGTTTTTTCTCCCTAGCTATCAATCATAAAAGAAGAAGAAAGAAACTTCTTGATACATATTTCCTCTATTTTGAAAGTATCTTAGACATATACGTGATGGATTAGACAACAACGAAATATTATCTTTATTGTTGTCATCTTTCCATCCGGTGGGATCATTCCGTATGCACGTATTCTCAATTGTTTCGTTTATTTTTTTTTTCTTATGGAAATTCAAAAAAGAAAATTAGTCTTTTATGATTTTTGTCTGTAGCATATTACCAAGTGACATATGTATAAAACAAAATGTTACTTGTATGTGTGCTCTTTTGGAAAAATCTATTGCGTCAATACTTGATATATATACAATGTTTAGAAACAAACAATATAATTGACGATTAGGATGTTATTAAGATATTGACCTTACAAGTTTAAATGATTTTCTACAATATAATCTTTATACTATATTCAAAATAGAGTTCAATTGACAGAGTTACACAGTAAACACTCAAGGAAATGATCCGTTGAGACATTTACAATACTCATTCTAAAAATATAATACTATTTTTCATGCAATCGATTATGTAAAATATTAAACATTATGTCTTCTAAATAATTTATGTAATATAATTGCTATGAAGTTGACTTTTTATATATTATTTCTGGAAATCATGGAAAATAATATTCATTATCGATAAATGACATATACCAATTGATCCGAAAAAAGTAGTTCAAGTCATATGTGACCTAGAAGGTTGTCTCTTGGATATATTACCTTTGATATTCAAAAAAAATAATCAATTTTCAAAAATTTTCATCATTCTGTTTATAATTAAAATTGTTAATAATATCAATTCAAGGATGAAACAATTTTAGAGATGTATAGTTTCATAAGTGAAAGTTTCTGATGAATGTTATTCAATTTAGATTTGATTAAATAACTTGATAAGAATTCTCTAGTCTAACGAGTATTTTTATGATTGATGATATCTCTAATGTTACTATTATTAGCTTACAACTCTATTCTATCTTCTGTTTTTGCAAGGATCGTTTCAGACTAAAATAACTACTTCCATCAATAGATGACATAATAATATGCACGATTAATCGATAGGTTAATCTTTGGATCACTTGAAATTGAATCAACATTCAGTAAAAATTATACATATTGAAATAATCGATTTGATTAAAATAGGTTATAGAGCTTCGTTTTCAATAGAAAAAAAATTAGTCATAGTATTGTGTAATGCTTTAGTGTTGTATTCTCGATAGAAAAAAAAATCTTAGTCACTATTGCTTGATATCTGACGGTTATTATTTAACTATTTATTAAATGCCAAACATGCTGTTGCTTAGTGATCAATGAAAATGATGTTTTGTTATTGATGTCGTATGTACGTAACCGAATAATTTTGTTGTCGCATGTTTTGGTGTAATATTAATAGGAGAAGTATTTTTATTATTATTTTCCTCATTTTGTCTTGTTTTCAACTAAAACCATTCTGATGAGATCAATCATTTTCTTTTTCTATCAACAAGTTGTCATGCTTTTTAATTATTGAAAATGTACGATTTGAATAAAATACAAAAAAAAAGAAGGGAGGAGAAAGAAGAAAAAAAAAAATTTGCCGATTGATGGCGCTTTTTGTTAACCCTGAAGCGAGTGAATAAGTAAAGTGACTTTCATTCTGTTGTCGTTACAACAAAAAAACACATACAAAAGTAGTAATACGATGATGGTGACCAAACGAAATTTGATGCTGTGAAATTGAAAGTAAAAAAACAGCAACGAAAAACGATCGTAAATATACATATATATATATTCATATATTTAGGATATACATATCAATATTACCGTTAATAACAACAATACAATAACATGGTTCATTACCGTAAACATATTATTGATCCTGAAACTGGTTTATGTGAAATTTGTCATCGTGGTCTTATATATGAACGGAAAAAAGGAAAAAAAGTAGGAAAACAATTCTTATATACAAATCAAGATGGAAAATTTCAATATCGTCCAAGTCATCCTCAAAATAATGAAGTGACACCACGTCCTGCTCGTAAAACTGTTCCTGCTAAAACTGTTCCTGCTAAACCAGCAACTACACCACGATCACGTTCATATAATAAACCAATACGTACTGATAATGAAGTAACACCACGTCCTGTTCGTAAATCTGTTCCTGTTAAACCAGTAATAACTCCACGACCACGTCCTGTCGTTCATGAAGAACCAGTAGTCGTTCCACAAAGAACTGCTCGACGTTCTTATTCACCACCAATTAATATTCAATTACCTCCGGTTCGTGCACCTACACTGTATCATGTTGATGATCCAATTCCAGCAGTTTATCGAAAAGAACCTGTAAGACAAACTCCTCGTCAAGTACCAGTTGATACTCATCCGGCTCCTACTCGTGCAACTCCACGACAACCTGTCGAAGAATCACCAAGACGTACTGTCACTCAAAATCCTCGTACATTACAAAATGATGTTCAGTATCCTACTAATACTGCACCAACACTATATCATATGAATGGTGGTACAGCACCTACTCCTCAAACAGTTTATCAAAAAGCACCTCCTCAAACAACTTATCAAAAAGAAATTGTTAATGCTGGTGCACCAA